CCCCCCCCGAGTCTCAGGAAAAGAGACTGTGCATAGTCCTCTCACTCTGCAGGGGAGAGGTGGAGACAGAGGGATTATTTGGTAACAGGCCTCAACCCAAAGAGGGAAAAACATGAAAGTTCCTTTCCAAGATTGTGGAAGAGGGATGGAAAAGCCCCATCCCTAGGTAACTTTGCTGTGATAGACTTATGTCCAGCCCACTGCATCTGGACCCGAGACATATAAAAGACCTGCTTAGGGTCAAGATTCCCCCAACACACATAATCCACATACTGTATATGAAGGCGAGATGCTTTATTTCTTAGGAGTTTACTGGCTTCTCTCACTGAAGTCATAGTTTTCCACAAAAGCTATGATATCACAGCCCAGGGAACTGATGTCTTTGCTGCTAGTTTGAGTAAAGTAATTGTGGAATTGAAAGAGCTGCCTCTTATGCTGTCCCTGTTCTTTTGGGTAGAAAGAACATTTCAGTCCTTAAATCTGGGCACCTTCTTCAGACACAAAATTCATATTAATAAATCTGAAGTAGAGTTAAATGTATATATTTTGTAAAGCTATACAAACTGTACTTTATCCAATCACATCCTCCAGCTCCCAGATGCATGTTAAAGTTGCAAGGTGCTGAATGTCTCTGTTATTGACAGCCTTTGGCTTCAGTTGTGCTCACTGCCACACAAGGGTGTTCAGGGCCTACTTTGGTTCATTCAAAATGCAGCATGCAAACAAGTTGCAGAATCAGATCCTTTGATTTTTTTTTTTTTTTTTTTTTTTTTTAAATACTGTGACATCACAAAAGCTAGAGACGTCCTTGTTTTTGTCAATACATATTATGCTTCTTAGTAAAGTTAAATTCAGATGCTATCTCTTGCTTTGAACATTGTGACGCAAGTGATGAAAATTGCTCTGGAAGAAGTTCATAACTTTCTTTTTGAACATAGACTACTGATTAGTTTTGTGTTATGCACGAGAATTATGCAGATTGGAACGTTTCCTTTTCTTGGTACTACAACTACCATTGCTTATGTTTGGAACAGGCATACCAAAGAAAAATAACTGAAAGAAGTTAGTTGCATTTCAAGCTAAGGGTAAAACAGCTCTCTGAGCATCATTAGTAAACTTTAAGTTACCTAAGCAATCTTTGATTTGTCAGCTAATTGCAACTTGCTAAAGCAAGTACTAAATGACTGTGCAGTAATGGCAGTTACTGCAGAGTCCTGGTGGTGCAAGGCTAATTTCTGACTCTACTCCTCAGTAGCTTGTTGTCATTACCTGCTGATACTACGTTGCCGTATGGAGATGTAGAGTCTTGTGTAGATGTGCCCAGTGTTTCCTATCCATGTGTTCAATGGTTCTCTAGTATTTCCCCATCATGCATTCATCACTACTTAAAAAAAAAGTATAAATTGTGCCCAGAAAAAAAAAAAAAAAAAAAAAAAGTGTCATCATAAAACTGTTTCCCCATGACAACTGGCAATAAACTTGGACAGATCCCCTAGCTAACATGTCAGATACAAAATTACCTGCAAGTTTATATTTGCAAAGCCCTTTCAGATGATCTTGTGGGAAGGAGGTATATACATAAATATATATCTGTTGCTACTAAGGCAAAATAATAATATTTGTGCCATTTGATACAAGTTGCAATCAGTTGACAAATTAAGAGATAGTACTTGCTAAACATGCTTGTTTGCTATCAAAATATAGTACTTGCTAAAGTGAGTGCGCAGTAACAACTGTGCAGTCAGGTGCACATATAGATGCACCTACTTTGTCCACATCTGGGTAAAGTGTAGAAGTCCTTACTAGCACATGACAGCCTTGTAGGTAGCTCATAGGAAGAAGTGAAGAACTTGTATCCAATTGAAACTGCAGGTAAAATGCAAGTTGTTAATGAAAGTAATTACATTCTGTCATCTGTTAAGTAAGAGCAGATTTACTATCAAACTATTGTCAGAGCCAGGACCTGTGTTACTTCTCATGAAGAAGAGAGAGAACATCCAGAAGCAAAGTGCTCCTAAACACTACTCTGATCATCAGGACCATTTCCTGCAGGAATTGTTTTTCCAAAGGGTTCACAATTAAATAGTGATCCAGCAAAGTTTCAGAGATGCTCGGGAACTGGAAAACAGCTGCTGATTTTTATAGCAGCACCTGTACATGGTATATTGTGTTGAATAGTCAACAGTGCCTAGTTTTATTTTGTTAATAATTGTATGAAATTATATTTCATACATAATTGGGCTGATACATGTGGTATACCCAACAGTCCTGTGGTGACAATGTAATTAAATCTAAGGATGACTCTCGTGTTTATACAATCATATAGTAAGTTACAAATACCAGTTAAAGCACATACACTTGTAGACACAAAATGAGCAAAATATGATTTAAAATGTTTCCACAACACTTTCTAATTTTCATAAAATGGAAGAGACAATAAACTCTGATATGCTTTTCAGCTGCAGTGCTTGGGTTTTCATGAAATATTTACCAGTTTCAAGATACTCATTTGTTTCAAAGGCATTTGTTTAGCCTGACCAATGAAACTGAGAAAAGGAAGCCACATATATGGCAAATGTTAGCAAGAGGAAATGTATCTACATATTATCTTTTTTGTTACCAATAGACACAAGATTACATTGTTTTCTCATGTACCACATGCCCCCAAATAAGATATGTACCTTTGTTTTGGGAAGACAAGACAAAGAAAATATTTTTTTTCTAGTTATGGCTAAATTCTGACTGCTGGGGATTGTGTTGGTGGCTGTAAGAAGGTTAAAACTATCATTCTGAGCTTAAAAAGGGGGAACTCTCTACTATCCCTCCCTGAGGCTGGCAGGCGGAATGTCACGGCAGGGTCCTACAGGAGGGCCGATCTCCTTAAGGCCCCTTCCTTCGTGCCAAGTTGGCCCAAGGGCCCCCTCCAATTCTCGCCCGCCATGTCTTTGATGTTTAGATAAGTTTGGGAGGCTGCCTTATGTCTTCCTGGACACGGTTCATTGTAACCTCTGGCCCCGTGGATGCCCAGGCCCCTCATGGGTCTTGTCCTGCAAATGGGTACTTTGGGGCACCCTAGCCTTATGGGCTATGCATGGCTCCAACCACCCCTTATACCACGCCCCAAGCCTCACAGGTGGAATAGACGTTGGTCTGTCAGGTTTACACTCACCCCCTTCTCAACAACGCCCCCTCTCTGGGGCTTCTCAACAACGCCCCCTCTCCGGGGCTGGGGTCTATGCACCCTGTACACCATGCCCTTACTGGTGCTGGGGTCCCCATGCTACTGTGGGCCCCCTACGAGGCCTCCTCCATCCCCTTATAGCCTCACCCAAACCACCGGTGTAACAACAAATCAAAACACAAGCCCCAGGCTATAACGTAACTTAAAGCTGCCTGGCTAAACCCATGTTGCTCAGACATCTTAGAGCTGCCATCCTTTACTCTGCTTGAGTGGTACCTGTGGTTCTTACATCTTTGCTCCAGGAGCTCCTCTCTCTCTGACTGCTGGCAGGGAACTACTTGGCCTCAGCTCCTGGGATTTATAAGAGCCAGGCCCTGCCCCTTACAGCCAGCTGACCGTTGTCAGGTGTGGGTCATTTGCTGACTCCAGTTGCCCTGGCAACCACCAGCTGGGCTCCTTATTCACTGCTAGGGCTCTTTTTCTCGCAGTTTTTCCTCTTTAGGAGCAGGGCACCTTGGTGCTCTGTGACACGGAGAAGCTTGGCATTCATCTTGCAGCAGTGTCTCCCTGCTTGCTTCTATTCCAGTGAAGAAAAATAATCTTCCCTGCTTAAGACATGCCAGTTTTGAGGCCTTAACATTGGAAAACAGGTGTGTGCGGTATACAAGTAAATACAGTACCTTTTTCCTGTTATAAGATACATAACCATGATGATGGTGATGATGACAGCTGGATCTGAAGAGCATGTGAGTCTGTCTGTCTGTCTTTTGTTCTCTATAAGAAGAGGCATCTTGCAACTACAAATGGATTTAGGAATAAGGGCCAGTAGGAAGAGGCACTTGTTATTAGGGGTGCACCAATAGAGATTTTTTAGGCTGATACTGATGTCTGGTTTTTAATGAGCCATATCGGCCAATACCTAACTGATTGCCAATATCAGCAACATGGAGAGCAGTGCCCAGCTGGTAAGTCTGTTGTGGGGGAAGGGGCATGGGAGGGGGCAGATTGAGGCTCCCATGGTGAGGGAGGGAGTGGGGTTAGCACTGGGGCTGGGGCAGGGACAGGCATTGCACAGGCAGGGCAGGGTACAGGATGGAGTTGTGGCTTGTCCTGAGTGGGTGGGGAATAGCAGGGGGCAGCTCCCACTGCTGCACACACCCAGGAGGGCATGGGGGGTGTGCCCCTGGATCTGTGCGCGGGGTGAGTACAGACTACTACTGTGGGCTGGGGCTGTAGGAAGTGCTGGGCTCTTCCTGAGGAGGTGGGGAGTTGGGCCAGGCTGTGTGGGCAGTGGCAGCACTGGGAGGGGGGTTGCAGTGAATTTTGGGGTGACTGTAGCCCCCCATAACCCCCCCCAGTGCTGCTGCTGCCCACTCCAAGTGCAGCCCTGACCCAGCCCCTGCACTGGGAAAAGCTCAGTGCTACCCCCTGCCCCAGCCCCACCCTTGCCTCATGCACAGATCCAGGAGGCACATGTTCTCCCAAGACCTCCCAGGGTGCCTGCAGCAGTGGGAGCTGCCCCCTGCCCGCATGTCCCCCAGGCAAGCCACT